TATGCATGTGCACATGCATCTTCAGGTGGCAAGCAACGTGCATGTTGTCAGCAATCTGCAACTGATTAGAGAGTGTTGCTGAGCTACATCTTGCTGCTGCTGCGCCCTGCAGGACCTCATGCGCAACGCGTGTGATGTCACCAAAGTGGTGGAGGCATGCAACATGGACGGCCGCCAGGAGCGCCTGGAGAACATGCGGCACAGCTGGAGCAGTGCGAGAAGGCGTTGCAGGTGCTGCAGCAGTGCCGTATGTGCAGGGCCCGACAGCGTCAAGCACTTGAGCACACCTCCTTAGACTGCTGCATATATTGCAGGCATATCTTGCAGGCAAGCCAGAGCTGTGTGTTTGCAATCTACAGTGATGTTTCCCACACCCTTGCGGGCCCTGCATTTGCGGAGCATTGCAGTCTGGCCTCATTCATTGCTTGCTTGTTGGCCTGCAGGACTACCTGGAGACAAAGCGCATCGCATTCCCGCGTTTCTACTTTGTGGCACCAGCTGACCTGCTGGACATCCTGTCCAAGGGCAGCAACCCGCAGCTCATCCTGCGCCACCTCAGCAAGTGCTTCGATAACGTCCACAACCTGTCATTCAGAAAGGACGAGAGGGGAGAACCAACAAAGGTGGGCCGGCTGCACAGAGCACGTGCAGTGTGGCAGCTGCGCAAGCCGATGGCCACCTGGCATGGCGCTGCATGTACAGTTGTTGAGGGGCTGGTGGCCGCTGCAGATCTGAACTTGCTTGCTGCAACACCCGCAGTCCATAGCTGGCTGCTGGTCATGCAACCTGCATGGTGCGCTCAAATCTCAGGTGGTGATTGCTTTCGCTGTGTTGCACACACATCTCCAGGCTGCCACCGGCATGTACAGCGGTGAGGGCGAATACGTGGAGTTTGCCTCTGAGTGTGCATGTGAAGGACCCGTGGAGACATGGCTGCAGAGCGTGGTGGACAGCATGAAGGCGGCAATACAGGCGGAGTTCAAGAAGTGAGCCTGGGCGGCAATGATGCAGGCATACCTCCTCAGCACCAGCGGAACTGAACATATGAGGATGCATGCAGGGGGTCGTGTCTAGCAGCACCAACATGTTGTGCTGAGAGGCTCTGTCAGCCATGCTTAGGGCAGGACGCACAGCAGGCTGTACCGTGCTGCTGCAGTGTCTCCTCCCGGCACTTCCCACACAAGTCAGCTGTCAACCACTCCTGCTGCTGCTGCTGCTGCTGCGTCAACAACCGGGCTGCAGGGCCATCCCCATGTACGATGAGCTGCCACGCACCAGCTGGATCTTCAAGTACAGCGCGCAGAACACCGTGGTGGTCAGCCGCACCTTCTTCACGCAGGAGGTGAACGAGGCCTTTGATGAGCTCGAGGAGGGCAATGAGGAGGCGCTCAAGACGGAGTACGAGCGGCAGGTGCGGCGCTGGTGTGGTGTGTAACCGTTCGCTTGTTTGCCGCTTACCGCTGGGGAAGCAGCGAGAGAAGGCAGCAATGAGGAGGGGCATGTGATGGTGTGGGGGGTGATTGGTGCGGGAGTGGTGGCTGTGGCTACATACCTGCTGCTACAAACAAAGGAACAGTGGTGAACAGAATGACTGGAAGAGGGCCACAGCGAGCAGTGACTTCATTGCAGCGCACACCTGCGGCAAAAAATATGTCTTGCCCGAGGCTGCCATGGGAGGGAGTCGTGTGATGTCTGGGTGGCGTGGAGGGGAGGGGTCAGTGGCAGCAGTAGCTGCAGCAAAAAAGATAGGAGAACTGCACAGCAGCTGCTTGCGGCAGGCAGCAGCAGCTCAGTACAGCAGCGGCTGCAGCAGGCTGGTGGTGGCAACTGAAGGTCCTTCAGCTGCTGCAGAAATGAGAAATCATAGTGCAGTTTGTAATCATGTGCGTCTGGCACGCACAAGGTCCCCACATTGATCCTGGGTGGTTACAGCCACTCCAAATCCTTGCTTCATGCAGATGCAAGCCCTTTTCCAGTCACAGGCAACCGCTTGAATCAGCTGTGCTAGCAGCATGTTGCTCTTGATGTTGGCATGCATCCAGTTGGTCATGTATCATGGTACCTGGCCAGCTGGCAATAAAATACAGCTGTTGTGTGCTGTACTGTGCTGTGTGAGTTCATCAAGCTCCATGTTTGCTCGTTGCTGCAGGTCAACCAGCTGGTTGGGCTCATTGAGCTGATCAACGGCGACCTGAGCAAGCTGGACCGCAAAAAGCTCATCACGCTGTGCACGATTGATGTGCACGCACGTGACGTGGTGCAGCGTCTCATTGATGAGCGCGTGGAAAGCGCCACGTGCTTCCAATGGCAGAGTCAGATGCGCTACCTCGTCAGCGAGAAGACCAAGCTGTGCCAGGTGTGTTGCCAGGGCAGACGCCAGGTGGAGAGCTGCAGGATGCTGGGCGTAGAGCAAAACGGCAGGCAGGGTGGAGGCAGTGCCAGGCATAATGTTGCATGCACAGATGCTTAATGCCTCCAAAGTGAGACTGTGCAGCTGCCGTGAAAGCAGCAGCCCTGTGCCCTGTGTGGTAGCGGCACCAGCTGCAATCAGCTGCCACCAGGCAGCATGGAAGTTTGAAGGTCCGTCTAGCTGTGCGTGCTGCAGCACTCACGTATGCATCTTCATGTACTGCTGCACAGGTCAACGTGAGCGATGCCGAGATTGCCTACAACTACGAGTACATTGGCAACTGCGGGAGCCTGTGCATCACGCCGCTCACGGACCGCTGCTATATCACGCTCACACAAGCACAGCGCCTGGTGCTGGGAGGCGCCCCTGCTGGGCCAGCAGGTACGAACAGCAGCCTTGTTTTCATGTTGCAAGAAGGCCAGCACAGGGGCGCATCAAGTGCAAAACAACCCAGTGATGCACTGATCCAAGTATGCTGTACTAGGGTAACTTGAAGTGTCTCCAATGATGGCTGCCGGCGCTGTACCTGCCCACCAGGTACTGGCAAGACTGAGACGGTCAAGGACCTGGCACGCGCTGTGGGTGTGCAGTGCTACGTGTTCAACTGCAGCGACCAGATGGACTACAAAGCCATGGGCCAGATCTACAAGGGTCTGGCACAGACAGGCGCCTGGGGTTGCTTTGACGAGTTCAACCGCATCCCCGTGGCAGTGCTGTCGGTGTGCAGGTGGGTGCGGCCTGGCGGTACCTGGCACGTGCACTGTGCTGTGTGCTGACATGCTGAGGCTTGGGAAGTCATCAGAAGTCCAAGTCAAGTGCCCGGGCTCCCAACCACACGTGAGCTGGTGCAGCTTTACTATGTTTGTAAGCTAATTTGAGCCGCTGTTCCCCTGCTTTGCGGTTGCCTCGCGCAGCACGCAATACAAGACGGTGCTTGACGCGCTGCGGAGCCGCAAGGAGCGCTTCATGTTTGAAGATGTGGAGATTGGGCTGAAGCCCAGCGTGATGGCCTTCATCACCATGAACCCAGGATACCCAGGCCGTGCAGGTGCAATGAGTTGCTTCCAACGTCGGCTGTTTCGGCTGGCTGTTGTGTAACAAGTGTGTGCATGTCCTTGTTTACGTGCAGTTACTGCTGACAGACTTTGCTGTGCTGCAGCAATGTGTTGCAGCCAGCACACAATATCGAAGCACCCACAAACATCTTGCTGCGCCTGTCTGCAGAGCTGCCTGAGTCCCTGAAGGCGCTGTTCCGCCCCGTGTCAATGGTGGTGCCTGATCTGGGCCTCATTTGTGAGATCATGCTCATGGCGGAAGGCTTCCAGATGAGCAAGATCCTGTCACGCAAGTTCGTCATCCTGTACAAGCTGTGTGAGGACCTGCTGAGCAAGAGCAAGCACTACGACTGGAAGCTGCGCGCCATCAAGACCACGCTGTATGTGGCGGGTGGAATGAAGCGAGCGGCGCCAGAGCTGACAGAGGACAAGGTGAGGCGGCAGCTAGAGGAGTTGATGGGTTACATTTGTTGGGTGTGATCATGCGGCTGCACCATGACGGGCAGGCGATAGCTAGGCATGTGTGTGCCAGGAATTCCAAGGCGTTTGAAGAGGTGCAAGTGCTGTTATGAATGCAGTGTTTCTTGCAACACACAGTATATCAAAATCCTTGTGCTTTGCAGGAGGCGGCTTAGTGCAGCAGCACCAAGTGTATCAAGCACATGGCGTCTGGGTGGCTGCGCTGTAAGGCTGAGAGCTGTGCTGCTGATACCCTGCCATGAACAGCTGTGTTACCGCATTTTTAATGATGCTTGCAGGTTCTGCTGCGTGCGCTGCGCGACTTCAACCTGGGCAAGCTGACCAGTGACGACACATCCATCTTTGTCGGGCTGCTGAATGACCTGTTCCCAAAGACGCTGGAGCTGGTGCCACGTGCTGTGGAGAAGGGCTTCGAGTCCAAGGTATGTACTGTGGTATTGTGCACCATGCCGCAGCTGTGTCCATGCCCGACAGTCGCACAGCAGAGGATCCTGATGACAGGGATGTTGCTGCACTCGTGTGCACGCTGAGAAAGCTGATGGGCTGCATTGATGGGTGCATGGATGTGCCAAGAATGTGCAAAGACAGCACACAGATACGCAAGCACTGGTGGCTGGCATGCAGGTGAAGGAGGCTGCCATGGAGCTGGGCTACCAGGCTGATGAGACCTTCTGCCTAAAGATCAGCCAGCTGCGCGAGCTGTTTGTGGTGCGCTGGAGCGTCTTCCTGCTGGGCCCATCTGGCTGCGGCAAGACTGCCATCTGGCGCACACTGATGAAGGCACAGAACAACGCTGGGGAGAAGACGGTGAGGCGCGGCTGTTTTCCGTGTATGCTGGCTGCTGGGCCGTGGGATATGCGGTAGTGGTGAAGAGAGACATGGGTTAATGTTGCCTGGCATGCTGGGAAGTGAGGGTGGTGGCATAGCTAGCCAGCCCTGGCAGCTGTTGAGGTCAGGGAGGGCTGAGTGGCAGGGGCAGCAGCAGACGGCGGGGGGAGGCAGCCGGCAGCACCTGACAGCGGCAAGATGAGGCCCTGAGCTGCTGCTCAGCATGAGCAACCATGGTGAAGTCGGTTATCACGTGTGCCTCACATGCACAAGGTCCCCAGTTCGATCCTGGGTGGTTGCAATGACTGCTGATCATGTTGATCAACGCGCGGCATGATCAGTTCTAAAGCTAATGCAAAGAATGTACAATTGCAGCAGGTATGGATGCTGTCTGATTGCGGCCGCTCACCTGGCAGCAGTGGCCTCTAAGACGGCTGCCCTCAACCGCTCCGGTGACAGCACTGCTCCACTGCGATGCTGCACGCCCCGTGACTGCTCGCCCACCCTCCTGCTTGCTGTGACTGCCAGGTCTACAAGCCCATCAACCCCAAGGCAGTCACCCGCAATGAGCTGTACGGCTACCTGCACCCCAGCACGCGCGAGTGGAAGGAGGGCCTGGTCAGTGTAACTTTCCGTGACATGGCCAACAACAGCACCAACAAGCACCAGTGGATTGTCCTGGATGGCGACATTGATGCAGGTGTGTAAGGAGGCAACCAAATACCATCACTCCGGTGTAGTGCTGATCACACGGGGCACTACAGCAGCAGCAGCAGCTGTGTGCTGTAAGTTGATTGCTGCTACAATGTCAGGGCTCCAAGTCGCACCCAACGGATCACACTGTGTGCCCTCATCCAGTCATCAGGAGTTGCATACAGCGCTGCATGCCGACTTGTACTAATGAAGGTGCTGCACTGGCCGCTGCTGCTGTGACAATGGCTGCCCTTTGTTGTATATGAAAGAGTGGATTGAGTCCATGAACACAGTCATGGACGACAACAAGATGCTTACGCTGGCCAGCAATGAGCGCATCCCTCTCACGCCCAGCATGCGGCTGCTGCTGGAGATCAACCACATGAACCACTGCAGCCCTGCCACTGTCTCGCGCGGCGGTGTGATTTTCGTCAACGCGGATGACGTGGGCTGGAAGCCGGTGGTGGACAGCTGGATTGAGAAGCTCGAGGTGCGCACTTGCAGTGCAGTGCAGCAGCCGATGCTAAACCGTTCCAGCTGTGACGGTTTGACGGCTTGCACACTCGCATGCTTGTGCGTAGCACAGGCCTGCATGTCTGTTGGACGGCTGGCTAATCTGCTGCTGCCTGCCAGCCAGCCTCTTACTGCTGCCCTATTGTGCTGTTGGCGCTGGCTGCAGGCTGTTGAGTACCGGCCGCTGCTGACCACGCTGTTCAGCCGCTACGTGGACCCCTGCCTGGAGCACTGCAGGCGCAACTTCAAGACTGTGGTGCCGCTGCCAGCAGTCAACCAGGTGGGTTGCTGTTACATGAGCAAGCTGCTGGTGGTGCAGCACAGTCCGTAGCTCGGTTCTCCACACTTGTGCGCATGTGTTACTTTTCCCATTGTGGACAAACAGGAAATTGCCAGCGACCCAAGCAGCAAAAGAGAGCAGCCTAACGAGAGTAAATAATTGTACAAGTGACGACTAGTTTCGGCTTGTGAGGCCTCAGCAGGTCAAGTAAAACAAATGCTCGTGTCAGGCTATGTAGCTGCTCTCAGTGGAGCATGCCAGCTGGCACTGTCATAACAGTGTTGGCTGGTGCTGTACTGCCAGGTGGCAGTGACAATTGTAGCTGCCCTGTGATTCTATCAAGCAGGGCAAGCAACATGTAGGCATTGTGAATGCATACTGTAATCAGCACTTATACTTCAGTGCCGTGCGCAAGTCAGGCGCGATGCAATCGACTTGTTCTCGGTGTAAGCAACCACAAGTCGTGCAGCAGGGCCGCCAAATATCTTGGCAACCTCTGGGTGATGCTTGTACTGTGCATAAACACGGTTGAGCACCACATCAATGCGTGCTGTCATCTCAAACTGGTTGTTTGGTAGGACAAGCACTGGAGCATCACATCTACTCTGCTGGCGCGCCCCTGGAGGACGGCTCAGCAGCTAACACGGCATGAATGGTCAATTGCTGCACACCAATTTTGCAGTTGGCGTTCAGGGTAAGTGCTGCTGCTGCTGCGGCTGCTGCTGCAGGTGATGACCATCTGCAAGATCCTTGAGGGCATCCTGCCCAAGGAGAGCGTGAGGGGCGCGCCACCGCCCGACAAGAAGCTGCTGGAGTACCACTTTGTGTTTGCGTGCGTGTGGGCATTTGGCGGCTGCATGCTGGTGGACAAGGTGAGCAGGGTGATGCAGCGTGTTGAGCAGCAGGTGCAGCGCATGCGTATGCGCGCTTGGCTGTAAGAAGGGAATGGTGCACTGCTGCAGCAGTGCGTGAGCCTGATAGATTTTTACAAATTCAATTGCATGTGTATGGATGCTGCACGGCCGCCTGTTCATCGAGCTGACCACAGGTGTTGCATGCAACCCAACTGCGCTTATGCAGGTGACGGACTACCGCACGCAGTTCTCCAAGTGGTGGGTCAGCGAGTGGAAAAACGTCTCCTTCCCTGAGAAGGGCCTGGTGTACGACTACTACGTGGACGAGGCCCAGTGCCTGATGGTACCCTGGGACGACAGGTGCCCAAGTTCACTTACAATCTGGACGCTGCTGCGAGCGGCGGCCTGTTTGTGCCGACCGTGGAGATGACGCGCCTGACCTACTTCCTGGACAGCCTGGTCAAGAACAGGTGAGCGCGCAGCACGCCCCGGGCACCTCCAGTCTGCATGGTCACAGTGGACATGTGCCGCACACCCGACTCTATTCAACTGCTCGCCAAACTGTGTTGCTTCGGCGCTTGGTGCGCTGCGTGCTGTAACTCGTCGTGGCATGCTGCCCCGCCTGCAGGCACTTTACCATGTTTGTGGGCAACACAGGCACCGGCAAGACCGCCATCATGATGAATAAGCTGCGCAGCATGGACCCCGAGGCCACGGCCTACACCACCATCAACATGAACTCCTTCAGCGACGCGCCCAGCCTGCAGGTCATGATGGAGCAGCCGCTGGAGAAGAAGAGCGGCGTGAGATACGGGCCGCCAGGCTCCCGCAGGTGCGCGTTCTACTGAGTAACAGCTGCGCCTTGTAAGAAGCACCTGGCATTGTGATCTGAGGATCAAGGCTGGGGTTACAAGGCATGCCTGTGCTGGTCAACACGCAAGCTGCAGATTCCTACAGTTGGCTCATTATTGCTGCACCCGGCGTGGCTGTTGCTGTCTGATTGCTGCTCCGCTGCGTCTGCCTGCAGGCTGGTGTACTTCATTGATGACATGAACATGCCTTTCGTCGACAAGTATGACACACAGTCGGCCATTGAGCTGGCACGCCAGCTGGTCGACTACCGCGGCTGGTACGACAAGGTCAAGATCCTGCTCAAGGAGGTCATGAACTGCCAGTACGTGGCCTGCATGAACCCCACAGCAGGCAGCTTCAACATCACGCCGCGCATGCAGCGGCACTTTGTCACATTCGCAGTGCAGATGCCGACAGCAGACATCGTGCGCAGCATCTATTTTGCCATCATGGACGGGCACCTGGGCAGCGGCGGCTTCGACAGCGACGTGGCTCGCCTTGGTGGCAAGCTGGTGGACGCCACCATCGAGCTTCACCGCCTGGTGGGTTGAGCTGCGGCAGTAGTGTGGCTGACCGCCACAGAGTTGTGCGAGTGCTGAACGGCTTGTGAGCCTGCTGCGCAAATGCGTGGTGGGCGGTGGCTGCAGCAACTGATGAGGCGGCCGACGCATGCAGAGCTGTTCACCGCGTGGCATGTGCAGTCACTCTGCCGTCACGTGCATTGCACGTGAATGCCCACATGAACATAAAGGTTTCAGCAGCTGCCGCGGGTGGCCTCTGCATGCCTGCTGTTGACAGCAACTCCAACCACCTGCTGCTGGTGCGTGCAGGTGATGAACAACTTCCTGCCGTCCGCTGTCAAGTTCCACTACCAGTTCAATTTGCGCGAGACTTCAAACATTGTTGGCGGCATGTGCCGCATGACCAAGGAGGTGTACAAGCAGCCAGTGCAGGTGCGCCACCTTGTTTGAAGATTCATAATAAAAGTGTCGGCGTAGTACCTGCAAATCAGCAGCGCATTGCATCATGAATTGCAGCACCTGACTTGGGCTTTGCATCACGTCAGCTGTTTGCCGCATGCTGCAGTCTGCTCTCCTGCTTCCTAGCTTGACACATGCTCACCTGCCCCTCATTGTGCTGCGCTGCTGCTGCTGCTGCTGCTGCTGCTGCTGCTGCTGCTGCTGCTGCCCCACACGCAGGCTGCCCGGCTGTGGGTTCACGAGTGCGAGCGCGTCTTCCGTGACCGCATGGTGAACGACACAGACATGGCCAAGTTTGACGAGTTCAGGGCCGCAGTGACCAAGAAGTACTTTGAGGACCTGGGGCTGGCAGGCGTCGAGGAGCGGCCGCTGCTGTTCACAAGCTTCATGCAGGTGCGGCCCTGCTGAATGCGTCGCTTGCCTTTGGCGCAGCTCATGGTACCTGCACTGTGGCTCCACCTGAGCGCCGAGCGCCTGTGCTATGCAGCTGCTCAGCCTTCATCTGCTGCTGCTTCTCTGCGATTGCTCCAACCGACTGCACCTGCTGCAGGCAAGCGCTGGTGACACGCCACTGTACACGCCAGTCCCAACGTATGAGTCCCTCAAAAAGGCTCTGGAGGACAAGCTGGCCGAGTACAATGAGACCAACGCTGTGATGGACCTGGTGCTGTTCCAGCAGGCCATGGAGCATGTCACGCGCATCAGCAGGATCATCGACCTGCCCAGGTGGGACTGTACAGGCAGGGGGCGTCTGCCACTGCAGCATTGCAAGCAGCTGGATCAGCAAGGCTGGCTGTAAGATGTGGTTGTGGTGTGCAGGATATGCAACATACTTCAATGCTTATGGGGTAGGGGAGCATGCGGACGCTCAAACAACAGCTGAGCTATGCTGTTACGCCGTAGCCACGCAAGGTGTGTTGTGCTGACAACGGCTGCAATTTGACTGCTGCAGGGGCAATGCCATGTTGGTGGGGGTCGGCGGCAGCGGCAAGCAGTCGCTGGCGCGCCTGGCAGCCCACATCAGCGGCTACGATGTGTTCCAGATCGCAGTCAGCAGCACCTACGGCGTGGCAGACTTCAAGGAGGCACTGCTGGCACTGTACACCAAGGTAAGGAGACTTGCAAAGGC